ATACTTATATATATATATATATATAGATATACAGACATACATACGTACATACATGCGGACATACATGCATACATACGTACACGCATCTACATAGGGAGAGGGAGAGAGACAGAAAGAGAGCGAGCGAGAGACTGCAGGATTCAAGGGTGGTGTGCAGATTACAGGCTGTTCTACGTAGTGTTCCTTTTCGTGTCCGGGCTATTATGGACTCTTGCCAGGTTCCCGAACCTCGAACGATAAAGTCTCCAAGGCATTAGTAGGTACCTGTTGCTACTTGGAGGGGATTGCTTCGCTAGGCCTGAAAGCCTAAGTCTAGTCTGCAATCTCAGCACAGGCTTGTTCGGCTCTCAGATCCGGCGTGCGACCTCAGTCCACCGTCAGCTTGCGATTCAGATTGTTGGCGAGGCTTTCAGGTTGACTAAGTCGGTTGAGAGCTGTGCTTCAAAGCAAGATGCTTTGCATGCTCTGGCAGTTTCTAACCACAGGCATGTGTGTGCGCGCATTACTGCATCCTTGCATGCAAAGATATGCAAATTGCACGTTGCACGGAGTTCTGGCGAGAACACAACGAGGATCATGGGACTTAGTAAGTAAGGTTAGAAGTCCCCTAATTGGGGTTGTAAGTATAGTTACCTTCCTTGTAACCCTACTTACGAAGTCCCATGATCCTTTAAGTATTACCAGTATCAAAGTTGTAGCACTATATACCCAAAAACCCCATTCTAATTATTCAGGCCTCTACGTACATTATCATCTCGAGAGCGATCCCGAATATTCACGGAAACGTGCTACACTCCCGACGACAAATGACGAGAATGACGACGACAGTGGCAAAAAACTGTATTAATATTGGGAGGACGATGGTACTTGTAGTAGTGTCGATCGTGAAGAGGAAAATGAAGAGGATAAGATGCAGATGTTGTTCATGTCGCCGGTGCCGAATGATGATGCAAAATCCTGACAATGAAGATGCTGCTCAGCATGATGAGGATGACCGTGAAGGCGGCGTTGGTGACGGAAGGCCTCCAAAGCAGGACCTTGGGCTCACGTAGGGATCCAAGCAGATCCCCATGATTTCGGGTCATAATGCCCTTTCTTCATCCTTAAATAGGCATTATTACAATTAAGGCCCCCGACCCCCTCTTCCCTCCCCCTTGAGGGTCCTTGTGATGTCTTGTGCTTGAAACCCCGATCCCAGAAGCCCTGTAACGTAAACGCTCGAAGGAATCAGCCGGTGCACTCCTGTCTGAAAGATAACTCAAACCCTCAAACTTCCGACCGGAGCTCCCGGGCCAGGAAGATATTTATTCACCTGCAGTTTGGCAGGCTCAAAACTTGAAACTTGAAGGCTCGGGTGTGAGCACGAAAGTGAGAGGTTAGAGCTTCTTTAGAATGCGTTCTGTTGATGCCCTACATCCTCAAGGGGCCTTCGCTCTACCTTGAGAAACACTTGCCCAGAAGGGGCAGCATCTTTTGGGAGAGGATTTTTCGCCCAGAGGGTGGCTCTCAGGTGACGAGTCCCGTCGCACGCACCGTGCGCAACAGGCCTCACCTCACTTGAGCTTTGATTGGGTTGTTTTGGGGGAAGCAGGATTTCTTGCCGGCACGGATTTTAAGGATTAGCAGATTAAGTAATCAGGTTTACAAGAACGGTTATACCGTGGATATCAGCAATCCCGCAACCAAATGCCCACCTTCGACCATGACCCACTTAAAACCGAAATCTTGAGAAGCGCGGTACTCGGGTGCTGAAACCCGGCAAAGCCGGCTGGAAAGTCAAGGGTAGGTTTAGGGCTCCAGGGTTTAAGGGTTTTAGGGTTTTAGGGTTTAGGGTTTTAGGGTTTTGGGTTTAGGGATTGCTTTCCGGGTTTTTGGGTCGAGGACAAGGTTTGGAGGAGTCAGGGCTCCACGTCAGGGGCTTCAGTTCGGAGCTCCCGCGATTTTTTGGGGGTTTGTGTCGCCCAGCTGTGTAATGTGGAAGCCTAAATAATTACCAATACTATTCCGTAGGGTTCCGTTTTTTTGTATACCACAAAAGTAGCCCAAAACCCTATTTTAGTCATTAAGGCCCCTATATGATTCACGGCCCTTCGTGTGCCAGGCAGTACGGCATCCGTGGGGACGAGAAATGGCAGCTGCTGGCCACTGGCGCCGTGGCTTGGTGTCATGCAAAACAACTTCACACAATGTCAAGGCTAGTCAGCTAGCCTCGACAGCAAGAGCTTCGAGCCTTCCCTCAGACGAGCTTCGTTTTGCAAACACGAAGATGCGAAAGGTAGTGGCTGCTTCCACTAAAGCTTTCCTCGTAGGGAAATTCCGCTGCACACTCCATTGTATTATTGCTATTATTACTATTATTCTTATTATTACAATTATTACTATTATTACAATTATTACTATTATTACCATTATTACTATTATTACTACTGACACATCCGCCCAGGGTGACCCAGACTGAGGCCTGCTTTCTCTTGGTATCGAGCCTGGGGATGTGGCAGCTGAAGAGGTGCGAGTTTCTTTCGGGGACTGGTATGCACAACAGCAGTGAGGGCGGTAGTGACGATGATGATACCAACCATAATCATTCATGACATAATCAGAAAGAATCTCGGGTAGCACTTGATGTTCGGTTGTCTCATAGCTTCTTGTGGCAGCATGCAGTACGAATAAACTCTCTGTGGGGCAAGGCTGCGCCTTATGGACACAAGCCCTCGAAACCACTTGAGAACTTAGGTTCTTCAGAAAGTCCAATGAGGGACTGCTTGGCGTTGATGTGCTAGATTCTGCAGCTTTAAGCTTTGCTTCTGTCGGCCTGGGTTCAGCCAGGGCCAAGGAATCCACGTGACAAAAGAACTCTCATCTTCAAGGTCTGAAGGAAAAGGAAAGGAAAACTCGAAAGCTGCGACCCTATGCATTTTTCGCCGCTGAGTGCTCCACCATACAAAACCTGCCGAAAGCCTCTGAGCTTTGAACTACCTCTGAATCCAGGATGAAGTGGAAGAAAGAGCTCATCGAGATGCGGCGCCAGCGTTTGGCCATGCCCCGCATCCAGGCTCCTGAGATGATCTAGAAACTAGCAACCTCCAGTTCCGAAGCGCAGCTGTACTTTGAGTTTCTTGCTTTGGTATACGTAAGCCCGCAGTGCAAAGGGGACAGCCTGCAGGACGATGGCTAGGCTAGGTCTAGGTTGGGTATGCAAGAACCTCAGAGATTTCCAGAGCCCTTTGCACAGCACTACTCCCAGGAGTAGAATTCCCTGAAGAAGGGATCCTTCAACCAGCAATGTTGAAGTCTGTATTCTCTCTGTAAAGCCCAAAATGAAGCCGTGCAAAAATCTGCCAAACTCGTGCAAAGTAGGAGATCCTGCATGCAGGGGCTCGGAGCTTCTCTGTACCATCAGGGCTTGGACGCCTCAAGTCATAAGCCACACTACATCTTCCAGGATTTACCTGTAGTCATATTAAGGAACCCTAAGGAATGGTGGTATTTCTACTTCTTCAAGCCTCTCTCACGCTGGCAAAGCTTGTGTCCCGGTGCCTCAGGTCACGGGCAGCCCCTTTCCGTGGAAGGACCAGGCACCGCTTGGAAACCCCAAGAAGAAGGTTTAGGGTTTTGGATTCAGAGATATAGAGCTATAGGGCTTGAGGATTACGGGCTTGTAGGCTTGAAGGACTCATTCGTTGGCCTGGGGTTGTTCCGTAAGCGCCACCAGGCATGCTTGCTGGAAACCCTCACGGCTTGAAGTCTGTACATAGGAGAGCTAACTTGGATACCGCACTAGTCACCTTGGGGGCTAGGTGGATTGAGGAAGCAAAAGCCCTCTATGCCTACAAAGCTAAACCACAGACAGCCCCTGTAAGTTTCAGCAAGCTGCTTGGAAAGATGGCATCAAAGCTTTCTTTACCGAGTTGATGTCACTACAGTCATGGCGAAGCTTCAGCCCCGAAGAAATGTGAAGTATCCTTACGAGTCTTTTGAGTACTATATAGACGCCAAAGCCTTTCGCTGAGCGGTTTAGGATTTGGGGCCGTAGAGCATGTGAGAGAGTCCTTGAAAACCACGCTGTTTCACCCTGCATAGCAGCAGGGCACCATTTTGGTCACCCTGCAAAACGGTAGGACACCTCTTTGGGCGGTTCTCTTTCATTGCATCCTTATGAGGTCTCGGTACAATGGCAATTCAGAAAAGATGAACTTGCACAATGCGAGAGCTGTGGGCGATCGTAAACACCAACGAGAGCTGCAGGTTTCCAAGCCAAAAACCTAAGTTTCCGAAGCAAGCGTTTTATGCAGGCCGCGTTGACTTTTTTCGAGGGTGCAGAACTTCATACGTTTGATCTAGAACGGCGGTCCTCAACAACAGAAGTGCGATGTGCTCAAAGGGCCATGAGGTATTTGGGAACCCCATCCGTGGCTGTTGCTTCTCCTACTTAACCACACGCCTCGTTCCTAACCTTGTTACGACGTGCCCTGATCCGCGAAGCAGAAAAACTCAAGGCCCTGACATCCCAAGCTTCATAGAGCTTAACATCAGGTTCCGGACTTCATCTACCGCGTGGTGGAGGCAGTCCCGCGTGGGGAAGTATAGCAAAAACTGTTGAAAAGTGCTTCGCCACCTCAAACTACATCTGTAGGCATAGTCGCTCGTTACTGGCACCTTCCTTTGCAGGTCCGTGGGGTCTTTGACCACGGCAATGCGCAGATCTCAGTGGGAGCATTCGGCGAGAAGTCAAAACCACAACAGTCACCCGAAGGATCATCAATTTGTTGACTGTATAGGCTGCCCCCGACCCTGGCTTGTTCGCAATAGTCGGCATACTTCTGCTGCACCCGCTCGGCCTCTAGGAGATCTTTGCCATGACCTTGGAAAAAAATCTTTTCACTGCAACACGTCTTGCTTTCCGTCCCTCTGAACTGCTAGATACCGCGATCGTCCGAAAACACCCGAAAAGATCCATTCAAGCCCGTAAGCAGGCCAAAATTCGGCCAGCCACCGAGGAGATGCATGTTGGCCCCCGGCCAGGGGCCGATGAGTCGGGCGAGACCACCCCGGGAGTCCTCGTGGTAACGCCACTGCGCCTGGAGGACCTCCGGCCCCGGGATTTCAGGGGCTTCCCCACCCAAGAGTGTGCAAGATGTTTTCCATGCCTTGTCTGCTTCTTGCGGCCCTTGCTCTGTTTCGTCCCTGAATCGATGCGAAAAAGTAATTTCAGGTGAAGGGATGAGGCTTGACCCTAAACCCTAAACCC